GGGGGGGGGGGGGGTTGAAAGTTGTTTCAGTTATCTTCATTATTTTCACCAGAAGAACATTTTTTGTGTCTGTTAACCCTTTAAGCCCTAGCCACCTGTACCCTAGTGAGCTGGACGCTATCCTCAAACCAGCCTGCCTGGGACACTAACGATATGAATGAAGGCATGAATCGCTCAGGAGGCCAGGACTCTAAGGGTTGATTTGAATCAACAAAATAAACCCTAATTCAAAGAAAAAACTAAAATCTTGTCTATTCTTTTCTGAAAGACCATTGATTGCAACTGCATGATGGATCTTTCTTGCCTAGCCAATTGACTACGTCATATATGAACAGATCCGAGTGTTGTTGACACACGCACAGGACCTGATGTGTTTCATGGTCTGGTAATATGTAGGGATAAATTGTACAAAAAACTGAACGATCTATCTGTCATACGACATGTGTTACCGCAAAATAGTATAAATTTCGATGTCTCGAGCAAAGAAACAAGTGTTTTGGGTGTGGAATGGGAGGCAGAGACAAGCATATCTTCCCATTTTCTCCCCTGACTACAGAACAATGAAAGGCTAGTGTAAACATAATTAATATATATAAGTAATGAATTGCGTGTCTATTTGTGGAAACAGGCATAGCAATATATGGTAGGTCCTGCATTGAAATGCAACTGGTAGCTCATTTTGTAAACGGTTGTTGTAACGACACTCGGATTCAGCAAAATCAAGGTCAGGCCAGACTATTTTGTTATTATATCAGAGTTTCACTGTATTGACCTAATCTCAAAAGGGGTTCTTAAAAGCAGATTTCTATGTTTCGGAAAAGGAAAGTATAGGTTAAGGGGGCGGTCGGGTGGGACCTAAGCTGAAAATTGGGTCAAAATATCACATTTGAGGTTTTTGCACAAGTGAATACCTGAATGTGTCTTGATATCAAATCCAGTATATTATTTTGCTGGGATAAGCATGCTGTATGTGAAATTTTTTTCATATGGCTACTACTAAGAGTATCTCAGTATGTCATTGTTTAACTTTATTAATGGCCATTTTCTCTGAACATTGTTTTTCATGGACAGCATGCCACAATCCTAAAATCTCGCTTACTTATTGCCCTGCAGACTTGAAATTTGGGACAGTGATAGCTTATCCATATTTCTAGGTAATGAGCTAGTTATTTTTGTCTTTTTAAAATATATTACAGGGGGCATGAGTATTTATATCCGGGGGGGGGGGGTATTTCCAACACTTTTTTTTACATCGTGCAATTCAAATCACGCTGAACCCTCCGGGGCCGTGCTACTGACTGAAGTGTGTTTAGGCCATTCCCAAACCTACCCCTTAAAAAAGTCGCTTTCGTTTAGGGACCGTTCACAAATGACGTCAGCTAGAATTTTGTGAAAAATGCCCCCCCCAGTTACACGTCAACCAAAATGTACTTGTGGCATGCATGTACATTTAGATAGAACCTGTACTGTATGCATTTTATACACCTTTTGATCTTTATTTTAAATTGTTAAAATATAAGCTATTGTTTATTAAAGAGTACAACGAAGAAATATGAATTGTCAAATTATCTATTAACAACTGTAACCAAACAAAATAATTTAAACAGATAGATTGATGGGGTATATATATATACATCAGGTTGGAATATCATGTCATCTTGGAAAAAATAAATGTCAAATAAATCTTTTCTTTTTTACCCCAACCTTTTAGAGCATCATGGTTGACATCAACTTTGTAAGGACCCTCCCCCCATTTCAGCTGTTGTCAACTTTTCACCCCCTGCCTCTGAGCTGACGTCATTTGTGGACGGTCCCTTACTCAGTAATTGTGGGCTTTAAGGTTCTTATCTGCAGTATTCTTTGCTAGAAACCACAGTATTTCCATTTCGAAATATGTCTGAAGCTAGGTAAAAGAATATAGAGCATATTCTTATTATTCTTTCCCCAGATGCTCTCTTTATCCCGAGCTGAGGCAGCTGACAGATGAACAGCTAAGTGAGCTGCATGACTTACTTGTACTGAAAGTTCCAGCACAGAAAATAGTGCAACATATAAACACAAAGTATGACATTGATGTAACAGCACAGGACGTCCACAATCATCGAAGACGTCTTAAAGACAAGCAAGCTTCGGGAATGACGGAGGATGAGCTAACCAGAAGACTATTCAGTGATATTACTAGAGATGATCCTGGCTCAACTGTTGATGTTATATGTGATGTAAACAACTTTGCCAATGTCATTTTTTTTCAGACTTCTCAAATGAAGCAAATATTCTGCAAATATCCTAAAGTGTTATTTATTGACACGACATACAAGGTTAATCGAAGGGAAATGCCGCTCTTCAATATCATGGTCGTTGATGGCAATAGGAATGGTCAAGCAGTTGGCCACGGTCTAATCATTAACGAAACCAAGGAAACCTTAAAAGCTCTACTGGAAAAATTTGTGTTGCACAATGCCGTTTGTAGACAAGTTAAAACTGTCATTGTTGACAAAGATTTCTCTGAAATTAATTCTGTACGCCAGTGTCTTCCAGAGGCTGATATTGTTTTATGTAAATTCCATGTAATCCAGGCATTCCAAAAGAAACTTGTGGGGATGGGTGCCAAAAAGAGGGATGGGGTGCTTCAATTACTAAACAAAATGTGTAGTTGCAAAAGTGAACTGGCGTATGAGGAATTAAAAGAAGAATTGTTTGTAGTTAGTCCTGAGATAGTGGAATATTTTGTGAAGTCATGGGACTCGTTAAAAGAGTGTTGGGTGGGTTGTTATTTACGTGAGGTGGAAACGTATGGGAATGTCACCAACAATATAGTTGAGAGTTTCCATGCTACCATCAAAGAACATGTTGATGCTGAAACGTCGGTTCCATCATTAATCAAACAATTAATGACCTGTAGCATCAGGAAACAATCCAAAATGTTGCAAACGAAGTCTAAACTTTCTCTCAAAAAGAGAATGTGCAACACTAAATCGAAATTTTGTAGTGATGTCGAACAAATTTTCAACAGCCTTGCACCATATCCTGCAAACCTCACTAAAGAGGAACTTCTAAAATTTGAACATGAGGTCCTGCTTGTTGATGGCAACATTGTGAATGACAGGAATGGACAGAACTATAGAATTATTGATTCAAAATGTCATTGTTTCATTTTTAAAGTTCAAAAAATTGTTTGTAGGCACATTTTTGCCTACCGTCATTCACAATTGTTGCCATTGTTCACTAGAAGTGATGTTGTAATGCAGCATTGTTTGAGAAATTATGTTCAGGTCAACAATGAGGTGGTAACGGATTCAAATTCAAACTTTTCAGTAGAAATAATAAAGAACAATAAATCTAAAGTCTTAGACAGACATGAAAAGTTCAGAAAAGCTAGTAATTTAATGACTGAGATGAGCTCAGTCTTGTCTGAAATGGGTATGAATGATTTTAATTATTACTATGATCTTTTGAAAGGAATCCTTGGTGAAGTTAAAAAAAACCAAAAAATTGTGTATTTTTCATCACAAAATCATATTAATGATTTTTTCACAGTACCCATGCCTCCCGAGTCAGAACCCTTGCCCCCCTTGTCTGAGCCAGAACCCTTGCCCCCCTTGTCTGAGCCAGAACCCTTGCCCCCCTTGTCTGAGTCTGAACCCTTGCCCCCCTTGTCTGAGCCAGAACCCTTGCCCCCCTTGTC